AACTATTGGAAGCACCATTACCCCAAGAAACGTAAAGTTGTCTTCTCAAGGCAACGTTCCCGCCAAACCTCGAGCGTACGAGCCTGTACCCTTCCGTGGAGCTGTCTTGTAAGCCTTACTCCGGCTGCTCGCCGCCGTGATGCGGCCGTTGCGGCTATTGGCAGCCAAGCTCGCACAATAGAGCCAAGAAGCTATAAATATCATTTGGGTCCAAGGTGCAGTGTATTTGGCATGACATACCTGACGCCGGTAATGGTGCGTGGCTCGTTGATCCTCGCGCTTGACCCTGGTAAGTTGGACGACACCGTACTGCCAGTAGAAGAAAGCACGCTCCAGGACAACGCGGTTCTTCAGCTTTTGTAGTAGTAAAACACTCTTGGTATCGCGAATATGGGAGCGCCAAGCATCAAAGTGTTTGGCGCGGCCCTTTCGCTGCGCGAGGCGGCCGAGGGCGACGAGCCGTAGGGCAGTAGCTAAAACCCGTGCTTGGAGGGACAGAAGACCTTTCCTGAGCAAGCTGCTGTAGCGGTATCGAAGCGCACGCCGCCGCTTCAAGTCCTTTTCGCGCTTCCGGCTAGACTCAATCGCCCACGCAGTAAAGACTTCCTGTTCTAGGCGTGGCATTGCTCGTTCTTTGCTAAACCACACTTGACTCTGCAGTACAAAAATGTAATTAGTGTGAACTATTAGAGTTTCGTATTAGTGTGGTGACACAAAGCAGACGAACATACTGTACTGGTACCGGCATTGCACGGCTTTTTCTTCATGTTATTCGCAGATTGGTGTACCACGGAAAAAAGCTGCCATCAATGTCGAGGCTTTGTCGCCCTTGCGCACATTGTTCAGAATAGATGCTAGCGCGCACTCTTTCCTTGGCCGACAGGTCGCCTTTGTGGCCCGTGAAGTCAGTCTTGACGTAGCCTGGGGTGCAGGAGTACAGTCGAGATGCCACGCGGTTCCATGTCGACAGCCAGCGTCTTGGCGATTCCGTTCAGGGCCGTCTTTGACGCGCGATATGCGTGGTATCTACCTTGCGTATTGAGCTGAATACTGGCAATGTTGGCTGAGAGGAAGGCGGCAATCATGAGATCATTTTGCTTGGCCGCAAGCTTTAGGTTGGACATGAGCGCCTTTGTGGCAAGGAACGGGCCCACGGTGTTGACTTCCAACTGGCGCAAGAAATCTGCCTTCGTCGTCTTCGTGAGCGAGCTCTTGACGATGATGCCGGTATTGTTGATAAGCATGTCGATCCGGGCGTCAGCGCCAATCGCTGTTGCGGCGGCTGCTATTGATGCTTCATCAGCGACGTCAAGGGCAAAAATGCCTTCAGGCTCTAGGCTTTGAAGCTTGTGCGTTCATCAGGTCAGTGCTTGATGAACAAAGCAGTTGACGCACCTCGGTAGCCGAAGACGGGTTGCGTACGGCGGCAACGACGTTCCAGCCCAGGGCCTTGTAGTGTTTGACCAGCTCGAGGCCAATACCTCGGTTCGCACCCATGATGAGAACACGCTTTGCCATGGCGGGATGGAGCCTCTTGGCGATGACAATTGTACTCATCCGGCACAGCCTATCGTTATACCATGGTATCCACGGCGCCGGACTCCGTAGACCGAACTTCACAATCTGCCTTCGTGGCGTAATGCAATACACTCCACTCGCATGAAATGCTACTGTAATATCCGATATCACAAGATTTGATTTCCGGGTTGGTGGCTTTACGTAAAACAAGCTGTCTCACATCCTGGGGAATTCTTACCACGGCAAAATACTTCCATCGATGTCGTAGTACTTGGCATTGTCACCAGGTTTTACAGTATCGAGAACGGCCGCCATGCCGGCAATGCTCTCGGCTACTGTGAGCTCGCCCCGCATGTCATTCATGTCGGTTTGGACATAACCGGGATGGAGCAGCAACGTTGAGATACCCTTGGGCCCGAGCTCGATCGCGAGGGACTTGATGAGGCTATTGAGGCCCGTCTTCGACGCTCGGTACCCGTAGCAGCTACCGGCGACGTTGCATTCGATACTTCCCATTTTGGACGTGATATAGGCGGCAATTGCGAGTCCCTGCGTCTTCACGGCAGCGTTCAAGTTGGGCAAGAATGCCTTCGTGACGAGAAACGGCCCGACCGTGTTGACTTCGAATTGACGCAAGAGGTTTCCTTCGTCGCGTCTGCCAAGGATCGACCGAGGAGAATACCAGCGTTGTTGAGAAGGAGGTCGATCGGCGTGTCGGGGCCAATCGTTGATGCCGCTGCGTCAATAGACAATTCGTCGATGACATCCATGGCGACAATGCGCTCGAGACCCAGCTCATGCAGCTAGGAATTCCGAGGACTCGTACGTGGTGTATATCATGATGGTCTGCTACCTCGATTGCTGTCGCGGGGTTGCGTACAGCCGCGATTACGAGCCATCCTTTGGCCTTGTAGTGCCTGGCGAGCTCGAGGCCAATGCCGCGGCTGGCTCCCGTTATGAGTACGCGCTTCATTGAGGCCATCGTCTTCGCACGTGCAAGTCGGCAAAAAGCAAAGTGATTAACGGTGCACGGCTTGGCAGTTACCTACATACATTTTGTACCGTGCAGCCTGCGACATGTGTGTCCCCGGAATTCCCACGAGTTCGGTTAGCTCCACTGGCTGGCTTGGTGGGGCAGGCACAGTGGGGACAAGCTGTAGGGCAAGCTGTAGGCATTTGAGCTGTAGGGGTAGTGTTCCCTAAAATTTTCCAACCCTCCACGGAAAATGCACACAAACGATCAGCTCGCCAGATCCTATCTCCTGTGCGCGGTGGAGGTGCGTGATTTCCTTTAAAACGCACCCGAATCACATAGAGAGGTGCATTTCTGACCCAAACCTCGATAGTAGAGCGTATGGCAGGAGAGAGTGTCACCGGCTCTGGCCACTATTATTTAAAAATTGACGTCGAACGACACCGCCCACATACAAACCAAAAGTAGATTCTGCATTAGGTGATAAATAAATACAATACGCCAGATCCGGATAAGCCGGATACGTCAACGGAACTTTCGAAAGCGTGCGAAAGGTTGGCCCAAGTGGGCCCAATTAAGCCCATTTTGCGATTGTACCTCGACAATGGCCCACGGACCTACGGACTACGAGCATGCGTCAATCGACGAGCTCAACTCGATGATCGACTCGACGGCCGACACGATTCGCGAGCTTCGGGCTGACAAGTCCAAGATGGCCGAAGTCGCTCGTCACGTCAAGACTCTCGTAACCTTGCGTCGCCTCGTCAAGGAAGCCCAAGAGAAGGCCGCTGAGAACCAGCTAGTAGCTGACGATCTGCCGGCAGAGTTGAAGGCTTCCTCTGCAACAGCGTCCACCGTCGGAATGGATGACAACCAGGCCGAGTCCAGCGGCCACAATGACGCTGTTGTGGCAGCCTTGAACGACGAGAAGAAGAAGCTGGAAGCGTCGCTCGAAGCAGCAAAGAAGTCGCACCTCGCGCACACAGCTGCCTTGGAAGATGAGAAGAAGAAGCTCCAGGCGTCTTTGAAGGAGGCAAAGGAGGCCCACGCCACCGCTGTCGCTGCCCTGCACAAGAACACACAGGATCTAGAAGCTACGTTGGCCGAGCTCACGGCCGCAAAAGAAGCCCGTGACGCTTCCTCAACCAACAACGATGCCGATCGTCAGCGCCTCGCGACTGAGCTGGAGGTCGTCACTGCCAAGCTTATTGCTCTCGAGACGTCGTACAAGAGCGTCCAGGACGAGCTCTCGCGCGAGTCGCAACGCTATGCGATCGAGCTGGAGACGGCTAACAACTTCCACAAGCGCTTCCAGAATGATCTCAAGAAGGTGACGCAGGAACGACAGGACCTCGAAAAGAGCTTGAAGACGGCGGCCGATGACCACGCCTTTGCAATCCAAGGTTTGGAGGACGCTCTCGCCGCGAGCCGCGCGGAGCTTGAGAAGGAGTCACAGGGCTTTTTTCTCCTCAAGGCCTCCGAGGCAGATCTGAAGAGACAGCTGGAGACTCTCGAGACGACGCTGCAGGAGCGCCTTGCCGCCGGTAACAAGGCCACAGAAGAGCTTGCTGTTGTCCAACGCCAGCTCAGCCAAACTGATATCCTGCTCACGGTACTGTACCCTACGCATCCGTTGGCACGTCTATATGTATTACTTGTAGCAAGCGCACCAAGAGCTCGACCGAGAAACGAAGCGCTGGGCCAAGGACCTTGAAGCTGAGAAGTGTGCCCTCGCGCGAGCCCAAGACGAGCTGCGCAAAGTCGTTGATGCTAAAGCTGACATTATCGCGAAGCTCAAGAGCTTGATGACGGAAGTTGATACGCTTCGTGCCGCTCTGTCGTCGGCGCTCGCAACCCAGAAGGAATCAACGGATGCCATTGAGAAGTTGCGGGCTGAAGGAGAGACGAGCCGGAGCCTTCTGGCCTCACTCGCAGCCGACTTTCAAGCCCAAAAGACGGACATTGAGCAGTGGAAGGCGACTGCCGAGGCGTTGACGTCGGACCAGCAGCAACTACTCATGGATCTCGACACTGCCAAGGCCGAAGTCCACATCTTGCAGGAGACGCGCAAGACGGAACAGGCGGACGCCGAAAGCCACAAAGAGCTTCTCTTCGAGACGCAAGCGGCGTCTGAGCTCTTGGCTGCCAAACTCGAGGCCCTTCAATCCACCCACGCGGCCATTGTGACGGACAAAAAGGCCCTTGAACTTTCCGTCACAGTATTGTGTATTTATTTCCTGGCCTGAATTCATATCATTGCTGTAGGTCCTCGCAGAAGAGAAGGCGTGTCTTGTCGAGGCCGCTGCGTCGAGTTCTGAAAAGATTGCCCATCTGGAGTCTGTGGCATCGACGTCGGCGTCAGAGGTTGTGTCGCTCAAGACGGAACTTGCGAAAGTCACGAATGACTACCACGCGCTGCAGCAGTCGTACGCAGTAACTGCTACAGAGAACACGGCCGCCCAAGCGCGGGTTGAGGCTGAGCTCGCTACGGAGAAAGCTCGCTCTGCTGCTGCGAAGAAGGCTGCCGATCAGGCCACGGTCTTGCGCAAGCTCGCTGAGGCGTCGGCGAGCGGGATCAAGAATAAAGTTGCGACACTCGAAGCAGACCTCAAGCAGAAGGAAGTCGATGCCAAAGAATGGAAGCAGGCAAGTGCGACGCTCCGCAAAGAAGTTGCGGTGTTGACAGTCGCGAACGACAAGTTGGCCGCCGAATCCAAGCAGGCGTTGGCCGAAGCCGAGCGGCTGCATGCAGCGACGGATGCGATCAAGGAAGAGTGGATCCGCTTTCGCAAGGAGAACGGCAAGCTTGCTGAGACGATTGCCGAGCTGCGCAAGGCGCGCAAGGTCGCCACCGAGGAGACCAAGACGCGTGAACTCCCGGGCGCGCGCACTGCGACGTCGCAGTCGATGGAACAGCAGCGCAACTTGCTCATCGCCTTTATCGTCGTTGTTTTCATCAGCTGGACCATGAAGCAAGTTTTGTTCTAGACGCCAATAAAGCTTTTCAATAGAAAGACCAAGAAAGGGAAATAACGTGAAAATTTCGCCCTTGACCTTTGGTAAACCATCGAAGTGCTTCGATCGAATGAGCAACACCCGCGTGGAGGAGAATCTAAGCGCGGGTGATGTACCATCGTAGCAAGGCCATAAGCTGTTAATGGCCATGGTTGTGCCGGTAGCAGCAGGTTCTTGGTACCGGTACTTGCGGCGCGCTGATCAGATCCCTCTGGCGGAAATTATCCGGTCATCCGGATGGGCGTGGATCGGCGGGTGGCGGCCGCGGAACATTTCCGGGTTTTAGCGTGTGGTCGGACGCATGTCGGAGGCGCCGATCCAGTACTGCGTGTGCCAGCAGGTGGACAGCGGTACGTGTGCATCTTGTCGACGAGATGCTTCTCCGTGTATGGTCGGTCACTCATGCTGGCTTCGTAGCGGGGCTCATGATCGAGTGCAGTCGCGGTACGGGCGGCTGCAATAGCTGGGTGCACCCCGCCTGCTGCGGACTCGTTCTTACCGAAACAGAGCTCGAGGCCATCGACAGCTACATTTGCCCGCTCTGCGAGTCGCCGGACGACGACTTTAGCAAGATGGCGGCGGTCAACACGAAGCGGGCCAACAAGATGGCGCTCAAGGCGCGCGAGAAGTCCAAGCAGCCCAAAAAGGACAAGAAGAAGAAGGAGAAGAAGGAAAAGAAGGAAAAAAAGCGCAAGCGCGAGAAGAGCGGCGACGACCACAAGTCTTTGACGTGGAAGTGCAAGGCGTGCGCCGGAGTAAATGACGCGCCCGACTCTGTCTGCGCGTTCTGCGACGCGCCCCGAAAAAAGTCATCGTCATCTTCCTCCTCGAGCCACAAGCGGTCCAAGACGGGCGAGAACGACGA